TTAGTAACTATTTTTTTTTGGCTTTAATTGCTGAATCTTTATGTAGATGCTAATTAAGTTGTTTTAGCATTAATGGTTGATTTTAATAGTTTGTTAGTATAGCAACAGTCATGACGGGAGGATGGTCAGATTGGTGTGTGCCTTATTTTCCCTGGAAGAATCTACTGTAAGTGGCAATGATTTTTAAGGCACTGTAGTGGCATACTGGATCTGGGAAAAGGAATTATTTCCTAAAAGCTTTGAACTTTACTGCCAAAAGTGCATTTCCTTTATATCTGGAGTGTGCCTTTTGATGTTCCTTGAATAAGGTATCTGACTCACATGAGAGACATTATACTAGTAAGTAGTACGAAATATCAGAGTACTGATCTTCGTTTTCAGTTCATTTAATTGAAGCATATCCTCATCCAGCCTCTTTCTTTTGTTTATTTTACCTCGTGCTTTAATCATCTGAGTTACATGCCCACCCCACCTCCACTGTATCTATTCCCAGGTGGTCCTAAAAATGAAAGAACCTTTTCTCTCTCCAACCATTTCAGTGTAGGAAAGAAGGAGAACCACGACAAGTTTTCATACACCTAGGCCTAGTTCCATCAATGAATCATTCTAGAATGAGTTCAGAGAGACTAGTCTAATCTTATTCTACCTTAGAAAATCAGTGCCACTGTCACATATAGACCCAAAGTAGGCAATAAAAATGAACTCTTCTCTTTGCAATCAAATTAGGTCACTTTATGTTTTAAAGACAGGGATTGACGCCACTTCCACTGGTCTACATCTGCCCTTTCCTGGGGGACAAGTTAAAGTCTCTATATGTACAGATCCTTCATCATCTCCTCTATGACTGCTTATCAATTAGAAAAAAAAAAGATCGAGGGCTATAGTTGAAATTATAGCATTTCTTGAAGGAAGCAAAAAAAAGAAAAACATAGAAGTGTCAGGAACACTGTACTAACCTTCTCTGATTCATTAAGTTGTCCACTTGAATACTAGCTCAAGATGGCAATGTATGAGTAGAGCAGGTCCATCCCATTTTCCCTCTCAACTAATTGTCCCACAAGATTCACTTAAAAGAACTATTTTCGGTCCCATCTAGTGCCAAACATATTACCCTGGGAAGTAGTTGGGAGAAAGGAATTCATGGCCTCACATGAACTGATACAGAGAAAAGACAACAGAAACTACTCGACATAATGTCTTATGTTTTGTTGTTAGTGAATATACAGGCATTTGGTTTTTAAATGCAAATGCATGAATAAGGTGGACTTTTCTGTGGGTCCTCATCATCTAAATCAATTTTGAAGGAACAATATCTCTATTTGGAGTTGTTATTATTACATTGTTATCTGCACCCATCTAGTAAGTAGAAATATGGAGAAAGGGAACGTCTTTCTAGTGGGCCTTGTATTATCCTTCTCTTTTAAAAAATAATCTCAACGTTGTATTCTTCTAGAAGAAAACCCCAGTTATGAAATAAAACAAAAGGCAGACAGTAAGATTTTGATCTTTAAATAAGCAGGTTTTGTTTGTAGTAACATAATTGAGTTTCAGTAATTAACACTGCTCTGCAATTAGAGATCTCTTGGTGATGGTAAATGTTCTTTATTTGGCGTTGTGGTGTTAATTTGTTGGAATAAAGTTACACGGGAAGAAAGTTTCTGTTTCCAGTAGTTCAGATGAAAGGAGGAGGTTGGCATTCAAGACAATTCTTGTTGTTGCAAATTGGAAGCTTATGTCCATGGCAAAGACAATTTCCGGTGCTATGGGCTTTTCCAGTCCTGTGTAATGAAAATTGTACTTGGGATGTCACTATTCTTCATTTATTTCTATTACTTGTTGCATAGGTGAATGGATTGCCAATCCTTTGACGTATGCCATTGTCAAGACCTGTTCTGATGTCTGTGTCAAGGTTTAGAAGTGTTTTAACGGAATTCCCTCTGTAATCTACTAGAGAGAATTATCTTTCAAAGGAGAACTACGTCATGCTAATTAACAATTACTGAAGCTTTGCCATTTTGCTTCTTCCTTGAGTATTAGCGACAATATGATTGAAGTATAGGTGATGTTTGATAACTTACGAAACAGCCCTTGGAGGTTTGAGATAAAACATGTTGCGACTCTGAATCTTCTAAGGATTCTTTGAGACTTGACTACTGGACTAATTGGGAAAAACATGTTTCTCCAGATAGATTAACATGTACAGTAGTTGTTTTCCTCTCTGCTATCCTTGACACTGCACTAGCAACTAAACTATGAGCAGAACGCTCTATTTATTAGTTTCTGCTACATGTGAAATATATTGTTATTAGTTTAATTTGAATTTGCTTGTCCAAAGTTAGTTATGTATCTTCACTTGACAGGGTCCTTTTGGAATGTCACATCAGCAAGTGCTTGCTCAACTTACATCTCAGGCATCCCAGGCTCAGTCTCAAATGCACATTCAGCCTAACTATCCATCTTCTGCAACGGCAGCTGCACCATCAATGTCGCAGTTCCAGTCCTTACCATCAAATGCAGCAGCAAACCGACAGATACCTCCCACTTTGGATCCTAACATCGTGAAAGAGTCATCAGATGTTTCCCTATCTGATCACAGGTCAGAACCTGCTTCCTTCGCTGTTGACAAACCTGCTGATGATGGCTACAACTGGCGAAAGTATGGGCAGAAGCAGGTCAAGGGAAGTGAATATCCTCGTAGCTATTACAAGTGTACAAATCCAAATTGTCCAGTCAAGAAGAAGGTTGAGCGCTCCCTAGATGGCCAGGTGACTGAGATTATATATAAGGGCCAACACAACCATCAGCCACCTCAAGCTAGTAAGCGTTCAAAAGAAAGTGGAAATCCAAATGGTAACTATAATCTGCAGGGGCCCTATGAGCTCAGCTCAGAGGGGCTGACAGGAAATTTTAACAAACCCAAGGAGGGCGAACCTTCCTACTCGTTAAGAATGAAGGATCAAGAATCCAGCCAAGCAAATGATCAGACCTCTGGCTCAAGTGACAGTGAGGAAGTGGGTAATGCAGAGACTAGAGTGGACGGAAGGGACATTGACGAACGGGAATCAAAGCGGAGGTACTTCCCTAATTCCCTTCATTCTTAGCACTATTTTAGTGATTGTTTTGGCTTCCGTGTTTATTTTTACAGAGATTCTTCTTTTAACATATCTGTACATCGCAGGGCTGTAGAAGTACAAAGTACAGAGGCTGCTTGTTCTCACCGGACTGTTGCAGAACCTAGGATCATTGTTCAAACAACTAGTGAAGTTGATCTATTGGACGATGGTTTTAGGTGGCGAAAGTATGGCCAGAAGGTTGTTAAAGGAAACCCTTATCCAAGGTAAAATGTTCGGCTTATTTTACTTCCTTATTGTCAATGAACAACTCTGTGATATGGAATCACCTATCCATTTGGTGTGTTCAGCTTGTTTGAAGAGGGGAATTTGATGAATTCCATGATAACAAGAAATCAAAATTAATCGTTCGATATCTGCTCGTTCTCTACCTTTCAATTCCCAATGAACAACATGACCTTGACCTATCATTTGTCTAATTTGGTCGATTTTATACTTAACTTTATTCTTTTATCTTTTATGTTTCCACTGATACCTAATCAATCTCGAACCTAAATGACTTTTTAGGTCCAATTTCATCAACTTTGTTGATAAAGTGAACCTTCAGTATAAATTTTAGTTGTAGAGCCTTCGAGTTTACATTCGCCTTCCTATTTATGTTACTAGAGTATGTTTTTACAATAACCTTGGGAACTTTTGACTTCCATTGCAATTAACCACTGGTGTCATATATCTTGGTTGCTGCGACCGTCATTTAGAATTTTTTGTTTCAAATGAAGTGCTGCGGTATCCCTTTGCCTCTGTATGCCAGTATCGAATTAGCTAATCAGTGTCCATATAACTCAACAAGTGCAAAGCCAGCTGCCTTGTTATTTTGCTTGCCATGATTTTTACATGCCTTGTTATTTTCCGCAGAAGCTATTACAAATGTACCAGCCAGGGATGTAATGTAAGAAAGCATGTTGAACGGGCTGCAAGTGACCCTAAAGCAGTCATAACAACATATGAAGGTAAACATAATCATGATGTGCCTGCAGCCAGGAATAGTAGCCACAATACAGCCAATAATTCTATGTCACAATTGAGGCCACACAACCCTGTAGTTGATAAACCAGCTGCAATGCGAAGAGCGGACTTTCAGAGAAATGAACAACAACCTATAGCGCTTCTACGCTTCAAAGAAGAACAAAGTACATGATTTATCAAATCTTCATTCCAGCAAGGTAATCAACATGGCAGCCAGTAGATGGCTGTAATTTATTACTGAATGGTTCTAGTTCTCGCGTTTGCAATGTTGATGATGGTCTCTCCCAACAATCATGAAACGAAAATGGTACAGAAGTTGCGTTGACACGAAATAATAGATCAGGAAGGAGTGGTTTGAATATAAAATTGTTTGTAAATGTTCTCAAAAGGGGCATAGAGTTGTTAGCTATGGTATTTCTATATGCATTCTTTCTGTAAATGTTTCTATATTCCCACATGTTTTGGTATTTTATCTTGTAATCGTTTTATAATTAGGCCTTTCATCTGAATCTGAATGATGTTGCATTAAGTTTTTGGACAATCTTCTTTCTGTTATGAATTTATGATTCTTAATATTTTATTTAGTAGGGTTGAATCTGCTCCAAGTCTAAATGAGTTGGTAAAATGTTAGTATGTGTGCCTTTTTGTTTTCCTTTTTATCAATTTTTTCATCTAGATTTTAACTAGTTGTTTCTAAGGTCATTTAGTTGTTTTGGAAGGACTTATAACTGATTAATTAACTTCATAACACGTGATTATTTTTCATAGATGGGATCGAAAAGTGGCCAATAAACGTTATTTCTATTGAGGATCATTTGAGATAACCAAGAGGGGTCTTTCCTTTAAAGTTGATGCGACCTTATTATTATACCTTGGAGAAAATTCAACTTCCACTTTTTGTCATATTTCATTGAAAAAGTTCTAAACTATTTTGACATTTTGTCAATCTTGATACAAATAAAAATTGATGTAATTGTTACATTTCAGAATTTAGTCTTTTTTCTTGTTGCAAAAATATTTACAACTATTGTTCTAGCTCTCTCAGTTATTATCAACAGGAATAATAAGTTGAGGTATCTGGCCGCAGTTCACAAAATCAATTTTGTTCAATTGAACACAGCACAAAACTCTCTCTGGCAGCTCCTCTTGCTTCTGTGCCTGCATTATAATCCAAATATATCTCAGATCAAGAACAAAATCAAGGTAAAACTTATGTCCTTTTTTTTAGATAATGGTAAAAACACATGTGAATTATCACTTTTTCACGAGTTTCACTCCCCGACTATCAACATTTCCCTTTTTTCTCCACCTGAACTTCTGATAACTATACCTGAATTGTCAATCCAAGATCAAGAATTCCATGTTTCAACCGTTCTCGGAATGCATCAAATCCTTTCCTGGAAATGTAACTGAATCGATGAACATCTAAGTCTATTTCGAAGTAGCTGTCTCCCTGCACAAAAATCATCTGTGAGATTCAAAAAAATGTTTCAAATATATCAGGTACTAAGTATTATGAAATTTTTATCAAAAGTATACTCCCTTCGTCCCATATTAGTTGTCATGTTTTGATTCTCGAAAATCAGTTCTTTTAAAATGTGTAGTTTAACACTGGAAAAGTGAAACATGACAAGTATTTTGAGAACGGAGGGAGTATTAAAGATCAAATCAGCTATGAGATCTCAAAGGAGGACTGATTTCAGAATTAACAACACATTACCTCGTAGAACGCATGTTGAGGACGGGAAAGCACTGGTTTTTCATTATATGCATGTAAAAGCTTTTTCTCTGCGGGATTTAAATGAAGGTCTTCAGGATTGGCTAAACCAACCATAACTTTGAGTCTTTCTCTGAAAGGAACTGTTGATTCCTTTGCAAATCCCTTTACGATTTCCATTTCATCCTTTACAAATCTCTGCGATAAGAACAAGTAGAAACGGATCAATACAGAAAGTAGTATTCAAGAAAATGAAAACTGGAAGAACAGGTCTATTACCTTTATACTGTCTTGAAATTGTGCAGAAACCTCTTTTTCAAAATTTTCTGATACTTTGAAATATAGTACAAGGCTCATTCCCTCTCCATCGTTTTCCCCAAGGAACATCGAAGTAGGGTAACTAGGCAGCTGCGATAACAAAATTAACAATGGAGCACTTAAGTTCATGCACTTAATCACAACTAACAGAATAAATGTATCATTCTGTCAAGAAACTGTCAAGTCTTATTTATGGACCTGTATATTGACGACAAGCAATGATGGAACTTTTTCATGTGGCTCTACAAAGGGAAGTTCAAGATACCGTGCTATGTGAGATATCTTCCGTGGAGAAACAAATAAATCAACACCAATAGGTACATAAGGGCAACAATTCGAGGCAGGAAATTTCCTTTTATCCCTGCATTTGAGAAACATAAAGTCTTATAAGCTTGAATGCAGAGCAAAACAAGAAACACTTGCAAATCTTTTTGTACACAATGTAGAGAAGGCGAATATATAACATAACCATAGTAACATGCCTGAAGTAATTCATTCCACGAAGCTTAAATATGGAAGGAGAAACTGGACTCCAACATCCTTGAGTCGATTTCACATCACTAGAATGTGGAATAAGACATCCTGCTTTTGGATGATACAATAATCTTCTTGAAGGACCTGTATTTTTATAAAGTCGTTTAGATTATGAAAGTATACTATAGCATTTTCAGTTCAAGATAGAAGCACAAAGTTCATTTTCAGAAACAATGCATTTCAAAAGAATCACGCACACTAAATTAGTGTTTTCAGTGACACTTACAGAACTCAGTCGTCGTGTCTTCATCATGCAGTATCTTACTATCAGCAAGTGTTACAACTGATAACTTCCTTCGTTGAGATGTCAAACTTGGATCCTCCTCTACATTTCTCCTCTTAGTAAAATTTCCATCTACCTGAATCAAGCATTGAGAATCAACGAATCATTGACTCGGAAGCCTTACCAAAGACATGAAGCAAAACTTTTCATTTTGAGCTTCACAATGCTAGTGTCACTTACACATGGTATATCATTGTTGTTGATAGTATCATAAAACCTTGAGTTGCTTTCAATTTGGCTTTGATGATCTAATGCACTCCCAGCAGCAACGACGAGTGAAGGGCAAATTTCTAGATGCAAAATTACAAGGAGAACTCAGAACTAGCTTCTTTTGGCTAATTACTGTTGGAATTTGGATAAGGATTTTTTGATTACCTCCAAGAACACTAGTGAAATCTTCGTCTGAATCCGAGTCAAGGACACTGCAAGTATCAAACCATGCTTCCTCTTGGCTTAATCCTGCAAATCAAAAAATCCCTTGGAAATTACACACTTTTAATACCATTTAAAATACTAATCTTTCCTTGGCATCTAACTCCTATAACCAAATTAAAGGGCTACTAAATTAGAAGTATCCATACCGGTTACATCAACTTGATGATAGTTTAGGGAATGATGAAATGCAGGACTTGACGCCCTGCTCTCATAGTCTACTGTGACAAACTCACAAACATCAACATCTCTTGCATACTCTCCTGCATCAGTAAGTTGCTCTATGGGTGCAACAGAAACAGAAGATGGTGCCTTCCTTCGTAACCTACGAGTCTTGGGAATGTACTTTGCTTTTAACTTAATCTTCTTAGACGGACTCGACACACATCCACCCATATCTCAAGACTAACAAGTTCACAAACACCAGAAAACACCCCCCTTCCTCCTTTTGCATATATCAACGTCCGAAAACTGCAAGATTATAGCATTCAAAAACATCAATAAAGACACTTTAGATAAGACCAAAACAAACATGATTTCTCTTGTATTTTCAGAAAAAGGTGCAAAGTACCAATCATTCTTTACCTCACATGCCAAAAAAGAACAAAAGGCTTAAATGACCATAAGCTAATATAACATTTAGTGAATATTGAAAAGGAAATACACATAACCAATACACTAATAATATGTTGATTGTTTTGCAGAACTCTATCTGAAATTGAACTTTATGAAAGCAAAAAAGATAACCTTTTTTGCAATCAAAATATTGGTGTTTAATTTGACATTATCTTTGGAGGATCAGATAAAGACTTTATTATATTTCAACAGGATGAATAAAATAGGAGATTTTGATAACCCCAAATCAAGAAATATCTCAAGATTGAAAGAGTAAACAAGAAGTCAGCCAAACAACAATAACAACATATCCAGTGTAATCTCACAAGTAGGGTCTAGAGAGGGTAGGACTTCACGCAGGCCTTCTAAAAGGAAAATAACGATAAACAAAGCAATCGAAGTAACAGATAGTCGTAAAACTTGAAGAATAAGATACAAAAAGTCAAGCAAAAGTCCTCTAATAAAAAATGTGTACTACTATTAAATAGTTTGTTGTAATGGCTGAAAGGGTCTCAATCAGACACCAGAATGATAGTATAAAATAACAACAATGACAAAAGAGATTTACCTAAAGCATTTAAGAGATTAACACAATACAATTTGTAAATTCATGGACAAATAAAAATTATATCTTTAAATTCAGAAAAAATTAAGTGAAATATAAAACTTTCTTGAAAGGTCATAGTTTGGAAATAAAGCAAATATCTTTTGGCATGCATTGAAGAAAACAAAGCTATAGGTCAACTAGAATTAAAAATAGTTGTCTTCATATAAGAAGAAATAAACAAGCTGGAAACTTGCATAATCATAAAAATAAATCAATATCAATAAGCAAATGAAAAGATAAACAACAACAACATATTCAGTATAATCTATCCCGTGGAGTTTGAGAAGGGTAATATATACACAAAAAGACCTTACCCTTATGTTTAAGTTGTTTCTAAAAGCAAAATTTGAAAAGATAAACAACAACAAAAAATGGAACTAAAGATGGAAAGTCTTAGAATTATATATATATTTTGGTTTCTCACGACTCATCGGGATTTACATGGCGTAAGACACATTTAAAAGGAAAACGCTTTTTTAAACAAAAAAAATCAAACTCAAAGATTAAACTCGAGACTTTTGACTTACAGATTAAGTATGGAGATCCTATCAATCTCACCACGACTGTTATTAGCGTATGATTATTATATTTACTTGTAAAGAGAAGTCTACAAAAACAACATAATTAAAAATCAGTGTGATTAAAGAAAATCAATTATAAGATTCTAAGAAGAAAATGATGAAGAGAGAAATGAAGGGACTTACTTAAATCTTCAAATGTTCACTTGCTAATTCTAAATTAAAGTTTTGTTTATGTTCGAATTTGTACAATTCATATATAGTTAGCTACTACCCCCCCCCCCCACCTCTACCCATAAAGTAGGGTAAAAGGGTCCCACACAATACACAAAATTGGATTACAACTATTGAAACTCTAATTATTTTATTGATTGTCTCCTTTAAAAAAGGATATTGAATTTTTTATGTTCTCATAAAATTTCACAATATGCATTCTAACTCATGACTATCTGTATATATGGCATGTCAAAGCTATACCACATAATCATTATGTATTTTATACCATAATATTTGTTTGGATACGATTTTTTAAATATATTTTATTAAAATTATAACCAAAATTTTGTAATTTTAAACGTACCAAGTTATTCAAATTAAAGCATATGTCATTATTATAGATAAAATAAAATAATTAAATAATTCTCAAACATGAAAAGGTCTTAATCTTTTTATTTTTTGGCTAATCAGAAAAGAGAGTATTTTAAATGAGTCAAAATTTCCTTTTCCATTTTCTTTAGCATTTTCACACTTCTATAAGCTCATTGAAAGTATAATAATAGCAAATATAGCTAACAAACTAAGGAATTTAACCGAATTAATTACTTTTTACATGAAACATAACATGAATATACAAGTAGAAATTCTAAAAAAATCTCATCATACTAGCTAAAAGCATAATGAATATAATGTGTGGTAGATTTATAAAGATTTAATTTGTTAACGTCAAGTTAAAATTCTAACTTCCTTTCACATGCGTATGAGATATTAAAGAAAAACAAGATGGGGTGGACGTACGACAGGGGAAACTCAAATTCAACTACTCTCTGTCTTATATTAGTTCAGGTTTCACTTCTTAAGAGTCGATTTGACTTATCTTTGAAGCTAAATTGAATATTTTAAAATTATAATAAAATACTAAAAAATTACGCAAAAAATTACAAGTTACAATTCTCTCGTATTAACATGATGAAAAATATCTAAATGTTAGCTAAAGTTAATTTGTCTCTTGAAAAATAAAACATGACAAATTATACGAGACATATGGAGTATCATACAGAAAATAAAAGTCATAGCTTGAGAATTTGACTAACCCTAAATATTTTATTTCATTGATGACTGTGACTTTTTGATAAATGTAACAAACACATCACATGCATCCTTTTATGAAAATTAAGCATTGTTCTTTTAAGTTGTCAAAATATTCAACCAACTCTTTTGGGGAAAAATGAAAGTTTCTAAAATCAAGATTCCAATACATATTCATTTGAACTAATTAAGCCCAAACCAAGACTATAAGGTAGTAAAAAATACACAACACAAACTTTTGTCCAAGTCAATTAATAGAAAGTCAACTAATAACTGACTATCCAAACTATCTTGTTTTTTTAATCACAATGTTTAATCATTTTTAATCAAGATTTGGTCTAAGATCATGTTGTTTTTTTGGAATCAAAGAATCAACCTTAGCTTCCTTCCTCAATTCATGTTTCTTAATAGGTTTTTATATTTTTAATAGAGGTTGAATGAACTAATGCAACATTGTGAGTTGTAACTTGTAAGACAATTAATATGTATTATGTTGGAATAAAATTGTGCTTACCATGATAATATACAAGTGTTTATATATGTGTATATATATATATATATATATATATATATATATATATATATATATATATATATATATAAGTTAATTAATAGTATGTTTGCCAAACTTCTAAAATTAGTCTATTTTGAAAAATGTTTTCTTCAAAAAAAATGCTTTTAAAAAAATACTTTTGATGACAAACATATTTTAATATTTATAAGTAATATAAATGTATACTTCTTATTTTATCTCTTATTAGATGATTTATAATCATACAAATTATATTTAACATATCAAAAAAAACATGGATGCAAAACTTCACTAAACCACTATTACTAGATTCTTTTTGCAAAGATTTCATTAAATAACTTCTTTTTTTAGAAAAAATTATTCCTATCTTTTTTTTTATCTAACTTATTTTTATGTGTCACATAATGTGGCACGACATGCACGGTGCAAAGTGCAAACCCCACAAACCAATAAAATTATTCTTTATTTGGTAAAGATACCATTGAAATTTTTTTAGAAAATTGCAAGAATTTGGAATTGGTTCTAACTTTTTTTGATTAAAATGCAATAAACTTTGTTGAAGTAGGTGGGATTTAGGCAAAAACACCAACTTTTGAAACTAATGATTAGGAGGACTATAGGCTTTGAGACAAAACAATAATATCTTTTATGATTTTAGTGGTAGAGCCTCTGTATTAGTTGCTATGTGACAAAAGGGTCCCAACTTTAGTCAAATTGTTTTTTTTTCTACCAAATTAGGAAGAAATTATTTGTTTTATTTCAAGAAATTGCCTTCCACCTCCTTGAGTATTTTGAAGAATTAGGTGAAGGGTATTCAAATTTCATCAAATTCATCCCATGCACGCATTCAAACATGTCATTATACAACATGAAATAATGTTGCTTCTAATGATCGATATATAGTAAGTCATTTTTATTTATTAAAGAATGAAAAAAAGGAAGAGGGATTCGCTTAAGCAGATAATAATAGTAATAATAGTAATAATAATAATAATAATAATTGGAATTAGACAACAAAAAATAATGCACAATTTGGTGAAGGCATTATGCTATTGAAGAGACAAAATTTAGGGCCCAAACTTGCATTAGGCAAGTCACCTTTGTTTTTTCCCCCTATTTTAATCACAATAATTAAAATAAAGAGCCATTTTGAAATCATATATTATATTTTTTTGTCTTTATGGTTCTCTTAATTTAATAATTTTTTCTCATGTATGGCACAAGAATCGTTCCCTCAAATAACAAGTATTTTTTTACAAATTAAAAATAAAAAGAACTTAGATATTAAAAAAAAGTGAAAATGATTTTAGTCAATCACTACCAAACTCTTAGACCAAACCCCATTATACTATGGGTTTTTTTCGTGAGTTAATGCTAATTAAGCGGCTTCAATAATTTGTTGAAGTGTCACTTCAAAGCCAATTGTTTATAGCATATCTTCAAGTTAGGAATTTAAGTGGAGGCAATTTTATATATATACACTATCCGAATCAATTTATGCACCTCGATTAATTTACGAGATAATTACTACTCTCTTCATTCATTTTTACTTGTCATATTTAAATTTTACACGTTTATTAAAAAAAAAATTAATCAGGTTATTTTACCACATTATCCCTATTAATCAATGTTTAGTACTCTAAGTTTTGAAAAATAAGTAATTAATGTTAAGCATAATTCATGAGAAAAAACTCTCTTTTTTTTATTTGTTAAAAGTGACAAATAAAAGTGAAATTTATTTTCAAAATACTCTAGTGGACAAGTAAATATGAACAAAAAAAAAGGTATCTTTCATTCAATACAAATATCGAGTAACTATAGTCACTAAGATTTGAAATCCTCTAATATTTTGTCTTGTTAAAATTTAAATATAAGACAT